TTTATAAAGCAGCCCAACACCGTGGGAGCCGTGGGAACGAGAACGTGCTAGTTTCCTGGATACCTGGGTCAGACCTCCAAGTGCTCTACAAACATTAATTTGATGAATCCTCCTATCAACAAGGTTGGTACTATTACCCCATTTTATAGACGAGGAAGCCGAGGCCCATAAAGGTTAAATGACTTCCCTAAGGTTTCCCAGTTATGAGAGACAGAGCTAGGATTTGAACCTGGGTTGTCCGGCACGAGTTCTGTCCTAACTGTTCTCGACTATCCCTGAGCCTCTCAGCTCTGTCTTACCACTCTCTGACACTTCCTCTCCCATAGCAACGGGACAACACGCCAGTCACAGGGCTCTGCAGCCTCCCAGCCAGGTGGCCTCAGGCCAGCCATTCATGAAGGATGAGCACCTCCCTCCACCTGGTCGTAGGCCGTTCACACGAGATGGTGTATGTCGAGATGGCATGTGTCAGCCCGAGCAGGAACAGCAATGACGACTCCTCTCTGCGGTCAGTACCCTGAGCAGTAACTGTCACTTCTTGCTCGTCTCCAGGTCCCTAGACTCCGAATCTGCTGCAGAGGAGCACTCCTGTCTCATGACTTGAGCCACCCCCCTCCCCCCACCCCATTCCTTTTCACAGAAACTCCAAGCAACTTCTGTACCCGCCCTGGAACCTGGGAACAAAAGGGTGCAGGCGGGCAGAGAACTTGAGGAGGCAGATAATCCAAAAATAATTGATCCCAGGTCGTGGAAAGCATTTTGTTTACAGCAGCAGGCTGACCTTCCCAATTATCTTCTGCTTAGGCTAACGTTACAGCCTACCCACTGCAGAGGACCAGGCAGCCATGGGTGCTCGCTGCTGTTCTGCAGAGCCTAGGGCCAGGCTGGCGCTCGCTGAGAGGTAAACTAAGGGACCTACGGCCTGGCGCGAAGCCCACAGGGTACCCCTGGCTCAGGGTGCACTGCAGGGTATGATCACACGCTATAGCCAGGGCCTCTCATTTTGTATCTTATGTTAGAATTTGGATGGTGACGGGAACCAGCAGTTAGTGTAATGGCTATGTCGCTGGACTCCCATGTAGATGACCGCGGTTCGCGTCCCGGACCCGGTGGCTTAAAACTCACGCCGGGTGCGTGTGCGTGCGTGCCCAAGATCCTGAGAGGAGAATGGAGGAGAAGAGACTGTGGTGTGACTATCCCCCCTGAGGGGTGATTTCTCGCTTTCTCTCTCTATGTCTCTCTCTGTCTGTCTGGCGAGCGCACGCGCCCTATAGTGAAA